AGTTTAAACTCAACCCTTTTTTTGGAAAAAAGTATTGCATTTAAAGAAATGTGGCCAAGTTTTTCCCAAAGTAGGGCATTAGAGATAAGCTTTTTTATAATTGATATAATTTCAAGTGTTAGCTCATATGTAGTTTTAAACATAACATCTGGATAAGTACTTGCCCTTTGTAAGCAATGTATAATAGCCAAGGCTTCCTTTTAACTAAAATCCTTACTTTTTTTGAAGACTATATTATTTTCTAGGTAGGAATAAAAAGTAATTGAAGTAGTAACGTGGCTCATATTTTTCAATGTCAAGGAAACCAGTCTTGAAAATTTTGCTAAACAAGTTAAGAATTTCAAAGTTTCACATTTCTCATGGGACCCTGATTTAAATTTCAAATACTTTAAAAAAAAATTGTAGCTTGCTTTGGACAACTGGTTTATGACAGTGACTCGTGTCCCTTTTATTAGAGTATAAATTCTTTAAGAACAGCCCTTTTCATATTCTTTAGTATATAACTAGACATAACATCATCTTTTCACTTGTGCTAATAATGAAGTCACCCACAACAGAGTTAACCTGGGTACTGGCAACCCAAACTTATTCCCGAAAGAAGCCGTCCTGCCGCATCTCTTTTCAAAGAATGTCCTCAGCATAATAGCATGCGGACTGTTAAAGTAACAGATATTTATAAATGTTTGTAATATGGTAAAAAAAAAAAAGAACTGATAACTTCTTGTTCAATTATCCAAGTTTGTCAATTCCAATAGTGGATAATAGTTTTTCATTTAAAAAGTAAGCCAAATGCTCATGTGGGGGAATGGCATGCAGTACAAAAATGAGGACCAGCCCTCAACTGCCTAATTCACATACCCCCCCCCCAAACCTAGGAAGTTCATTATAAGTATTACAAAGTGTCTTCAAAAGTTTACACACCATGCAAAGGAGTAGATTATGTGCCGCACTGTTACAAATTTAACCCGAACGATCTAGAAGCTGGGCTTTGGTTTTGTAAAATGTGTTAGGATGCTGGCACCCAGAACCGGAAGGAAGCGTTCTGGATTTGCATCTATTCCATCGGTCGTATTACCTGCATCTGCCCAGCAAAGCAGTTTAGAGAAGGGGTCAAAGGTTAAACCATTGGGCAGTCCAATGTCTGTATTCACCAGAATTCTTCTGTTTTGTCCATCTAAAGACGATGTTTCAATTTTAGGAGCCTCTCGATTCCAGTCTGTCCAGTACAA